CCCCCCCCCCGACACCACATCCCATGGAAGCCAACTCCATCCCATAGGAAACATCTGAGCTGTAAGGACAGTGTCGGATGCATTTTGCTCCTGATCCTACATCTTGGAGCTGCCTGTGGTTGGGAATTCTATAGCATGTTCAGGAAGCTTTTGTTATCTGAAACCTCTTGATGGCCCTTTATAGCTCTGGCTGACTGTATCTGGGATGAGAGACAGGAGCTCCCAAATATTCACTTGAGGGGCAGCTTAAACCCCAGGGAAACCACATTCCATGCAGCACCTTGGTGCTGGCAGGGGCTTGGCAGCCCAGGCACCAGCTCCATCTCCAGGGACAGCAGGAGGCTGGGCTAAGGCTTCACACTGGAGGGAAAGGCAGCCGAGAACTGGTCACGTCATCACCCGCTCCCCTCCGGCCTGCAGCCAGGTCCAGCCTCCCAGACTCTGCGGTTTTAAACCATTGTGATCAGTGGGTAGGGAGAAAATTCATTTCTAGGTTTCTCGAAGGGTTTATGAGTTGGGTCAAACCCACTGAAAGAGATACAGTTTTTGGATGCCAACGGATTTCAGCTGGGACGTAATTTCAGAGGAACATCAAGCAGTACTCAGGGAGGGAAAGGGCTTTAACAGAGAGAAGAGAGCGAAGGACCCGCAGCAGGGGCGCAGGCTGGCGGGTGGGCGAAGATGGGTAGGAAGCTAAGGCTTTCCCTCTTGCTGGTATTGCGCCGCCAGCTCAGCATGCTGAACCGCCATGGTTTCTAATCACTGGTAGCTAGGCAGGTTGGCTTCAAGCAGAGCAATTGTGGAGAGGCCCGGGACAGAGTCACAGTGGGGCTGGATTCCCGTCACCCTCTTCTCCATCCCCTTCCACACGGGAAAGGACCCCGAGAAACAGTGCAAGCAAAGCCTCTGAGTGGTTTGGATAGACCCAGACTTTGGAGTCAGCCAAGCCAGTTTGGTTCAACAACTGACAGACCTCTTGATCTGTGTTCCCTGGAAGTGTATGTGGTAACACATCTTAGAAGCGATACATTAGAACATGTAAACCATAAGGAACAGCAGAAAGCGGTCCCTGGTCGGTGCTTGGCAAATGAACGTTTAACACAGGCCTCCTTTTGCTTGGACTGTCAGGGATTCAAATACAAATGACCCTCACAAAACTGGGGGTGGGGTCCTCCTACTGTGTGGCAGGACAGAGTAATGCTTAGGGAGCAAACAAGGAAGTGTTGCTCAGAGTGCTAGTTGCCTGCACATCTCTTCCCCCATCTCTTTATAACAGGGTCCCTGATTTCCACCTGGAATTAAAGCCATATTTCCCAGTTTCCTTTGCAGCTGTTGGCCACATGACTCAATTCTAGAAAATGGGATGCGGCAGGAATGGAAAGTTCTTTCAGAGACAGGAGGCACAGCCCTCTGTCCCCTGTCCTCCCACCTCGGTCCCTCGCTCTCTGCTGAGACCGCATGGCTGAGTGGCTCTCTCCGTTTTCCCTTCCGTACTCCGGAATCCTTACACTGAAAAGGTCCTGCAGCTAGAAAGAGTGAATCTTTTTACTGTTCTGCCTTTTACAGCCACCTCTCCCTCAAGGGGTCCCAGCTGATCTTTCCATCCTTGGCCAACAGAGGCCCATCTGGGGCTCGCTCATCTGGGATGGGTGAAGCCATCTGAGGGAAGTGTGTAGAGGGTCTTGAATTGTACAAAACAGCTCCCGGGTATGACTCATGGCAGCCACAGGAGGAGGGAGCCATACCTAGAGAAGAGATGTGGTTTGTCTAAGGGCCCACACAGTCAGCCCAGAGGGTGATGACGGCCGAGCAAGCTGAAGATCCCTGGGACCCTCTTCAGCAGTTCCAGCTGTGGAGCTAGGCTGTGGCCTGTGAGGGATATACTCATGGGTCTGCGGTATTAGTGGTTACTAACCGCTGACTGCGGCCATGGGTCTTCTGCTAAAGCTACACGTGAACGCATTTAACCTTCCTCATGATTCTGTGAGGGAAGGGTGGCTGCTACCCCACTTCAATTTTTTCCCCTCAGGTAGGGATACAAGCACAGAGAAACTAGGACTTGGATAGGGCCATACAGTTAGAGAGCAGCAAATCCAGAATTCCAGGCTGCTTCATCCACAAAATTATCCATTCTGCTCTGTGGCTTCTAATCCACTAATGAAATACCAAAGCTGGAAAACGACTTTGTAAAGCAAGGGTGCCCAGACCTTTGACATGGCAATATGATGTCATATGATACACATTGTACTAACTTCATTGCCACCCTGGTTACGGGAGGGCCACAAGCTGCAGATTGGACCCACCTGTTGTAAAGCATCTCTCGGAATGGCCTCCACCTAGTTCCTTGGAGCATGTTTCATGTATTACCTTTCTCTGGTGAGGGAGACGGGAGGGCCTAATGACCAGCACTGAGACAATTTTGTCTTTTCTGCCTTCTCCAGTGAGCTCGGGTCACGGATGAATTAATCACCCACTATGCAAAAGACACTCTTTGCCCACATGTGCTGCTGTTTTCTTCCGGGCACAGAGCTGGGCTCCTTCCTGGGTAAGTGGGATCTAATGATCCAGTCTTGCCAATGGATCTTGAGTGGGATCCATGCCCATCCCTAACAGGGCATCATGATGTCATCCTCACTCCTGTCCACTAGATGCAGGGTGGCCAGAGAGACGGGCATGGCGGAGACACGAGATGAACAGGGCGCCAGGCCCTGCGTTGAGAGGGAACACCTCACTGGACTCTTGAATGTCAATGGCATTTGAGTGAGTGGACTAATTCTTCCTAACCTAATGTGTCATTTCCTTCATTTACGATCAAAAAGTTGACATTGGCTGCCTATAAGAATAACAAAAATTCAAGGGGCTTATGGAAAGTCCTGTTTTCCCAGAAGTGATTGTTCAAATCTCTGTAATATAATCCCGCCCACCCCGAGCTGTGTCTCCACGGCCAGGGTGGAGGCCATTAAGCCATAGGAAGCCAGGGCATGCGTTACATTACCACATCTGTCTCCTTCGACATCACTCCTCTTGGGGCTGGAGGCTGGGAACCTCAGTCCAGGCGTCGATGGACCTCCTAAGGGCACAGCGTTGGTACGGGAACCACCGGTGGTAGCGGGAGGGCCTCCCCCAAGGTGGCTGTCTCCAGAGTTGAGCCTCTTGTAGTACTGTGAGGAGGAGTGGGTCAAGGAGCCTCTGTGGCTAAAGGCCGTGGAGGAGGCGTCCATGCTGTAGCGGCTCATGCCTACAGGGTTCGCCAGACACTCTTCAGCAGGGGCCGCCTGGGCTGAAAAGTAAGGGACACAGGGAAAGACATGAGAGAGCAGTCCAGGGAGGTACCTCAGCCTTGACAAACCCTGCTCTGACATGGTCGCTACTACCAGTGAGCATCTGTGAAGAGGAGAAATGAACACAGAGTAGTCCAAAGAGCACTGGCAGCAGATTGAGATCTTGCCTCAGCAGAGAGGGACCAAAAGAAGGGTTCTTCCATGTTTAGAAGAAACAGTAGCTATCTTGGCTCTTAATCACTTGGAAATAACCCCCTCCCCCCAAAATCAATAGTTATGCTTGTGAGCTGTACATGTTACCAATGGTGTGTGTGTGTGTGTGTGTGTGTGTAAAGGTCTCAATACATCATGGATATAAAGAGGAAACCATTCTACCCCTACCCCCACCTAGTCAAAATCATATCATTTTAGCTTCATCAATAATTGTAGATTAAACACCATCAAGGGCTGGGGAGATGGCTTAGAGGTTAAGAGCACCGACTGCTCTTCCAGAGGTCCTGAGTTCAATTCCCAGCAACCACATGGTGGCTCACAACCATCTGTAGTGAGATCTGGCACCCTCTTCTGTATTCATAATAAATAAAAATCTTAAAAAAAACAAAAACAAAAAAAACCATAGCTTTAAAAAAAAATTTAAAAAAAAACACCATCAAAACAGACCTTGATATCCCAAAAGAAACACAATCAGTAACAAGGACAGGTGTTCTAGAATTGGCAATGAAGAAACCCAGGACCCAGACATCGTCACCATGTCTCAATTTCTCCTTCAAGAAGGTACTGAAAATCTAGTATTTGATATTATGAGGGCAAGTAGCTGGCCCCACTGCTGGGGACTTCCATGGAGACTGCCTGGAAACAAAGGCCTTCAAGACTTAAGAACACGGCAGTAATTTTGGTAAATTTTGCAGGTGCAAAAAACGTCTATTTTTAGAGCTGGAGAGATGACCCAGCAGTTAAGAGCACTTGCTGCTCTTCCAAAGGACCTGGGCTCAATTCTTAGGACCTATGTGTTGACACACAACTGTCCATAGCTCCAGGTCCAAGGGAGCCAACACCCTCTTCAGGCCTCTGCAGGCACCAGGCATGCATGTGGTATGCAGACATGCATGCAAGGCAAATAACCCGTATGCATGAAATAAAATAAAGCCACCTTGTATTGTACAGGATGAACAATTTCATATGAATAACCATTCACCTTAAGACAGTAAAAAACAGCAAATTAAATTTAGAGCAAATGAATAGAGATTTGAGCAGAAATTAATTTAATAGAAAAACACTGGGAGATAAAAACAGTGACAGCAAAAGCTGGTTCTTTGACAACACTAAGAAAATTAGCAGTTCTTTAGATGACCTGACAAAAATACAGGCAACTCAGATCGCCAGATTCAGAAATAAAGAGATCTTTCCCTCAACCTTCCAGGAATAAGAAAAGTTAAAGCATGTGATAAATGACTATAATTAATTAGGTAATTTGAATGAAATGGCAAATTACTGGAGCTGACTCAAGAATTGATAATCTGTATAGCACAGACCTGTAGTAAGAGACTGAATTAGCAATTTAAAAAAATACCCACAAAGAAAGAGAAAACACAAATGACTTAGAGGCAAACTCTACCAAACATTTCAAAATTAAAAAAAAAATACAGATTTTTCACAAATTCTTCCAAAAAAGTAGAAGAGGAGAGAATGCTTTCCAACTCATTTTATGAAGCTAGTACCACTTTGATACCAAATCTAGACAGACATCGTAGGAAAAGAGAATTCCAGGCAACAGGCTCCTGATCACATGGATGCAGAATCCTCCCCAAGTACTAACAAGACTGAACCTGACAGCATTCAGGAAGAGTTACACCAACCAAGGAGGAAATGAGAGGTAATTCAACATCCAAAAATAAATTAATATGCCATATTGATAGAATACAAAAGTGTAAAGACTACATGATCACCTCAATAGAGGCAGAAAAACTCAGGACAAAACTTCGTGCCTTTTCATGATAAATATCAGGCAATACCAGGACAGAAGGGAATCTCCTAACAAAGGCTCTTCGAAAGTCCACAGGTGACATCGCGGTTTGTGGGAAGAGAGTGGGTGCTGTTCCCTGTGGCCATTGCTTCAGCCATCAGCTTTCTGCTGGAGGCTTCAGCCAAGGCTGAAATTCTTGCTAAGAAAAAGCAAGGACAGTCTTCCAAATTGGGAAAGGAAGTAAAATGACCCCTGTGCATACAAAGGCCTCAGGAACCCAGTTTTAAAATGATTGGAATTCATAAATTATCACCAAGGTTGTAGGATGCAAAAATCAATGCACAAAAATCAATTGTATTTCTATATACTTCCACTGAACAATCTGAAGATGACGTTAAGAAAGCAATTCCATACAATAAGATTAAAACAGTGAAACACTTGAAAATGAATTAAACATAATAAATCTTGATTTATGAGCTGGAAAAATACACAACACTGTTGGAAGAAGATGCAAATGAATGGTGAAATACCATATTCATAGATTTTTTTTTATCATTAAGGTGACAATATACTAAAAATGTTCAACAAAATCAACACAATCCCTATCAGAATCCTCTCAAATTTCTTTATTGTAATTAACACACCTAGGAAAATTGTCATGGTAAGGTCAAGGAGAAACATTGCCGGCCTAACATACTCAAGGCCTCAGTACCACAAAGCTCCCCAAATAGACAATAAGAAGTGCTGCAAAGAAATCAGAACTCTCACATACTGCTCATAAATTAAGAGTGGCCCAGCCGCTTTGGAAAACAAACACATAAGGCAGAATTACCACATGACTCAGAAACTGCACTCCTGGGTATGTGCATAAAGGAAATAAAGATACTTTTCCATACAAAAACCTGTGCACGAGTGTTTACAGTAGTGATGTTCACAGATGGAAGCAACACACGTGTCTGCTGCCAGTGAATGGATTACACTCTACAAGGGAACTATCTCAGCATAGGAAGAGGGAAGAGCCAATGCCGGCTACAGCACAGATGCACCCTGAAGCAATATGCTGGGGTAAGAAGGTCGCAAAGCATCGCATAGTCAATGATTCCATGAACATGGGTACTCAAGACAAGCATCTCTAGAGCACTGCCTAGGGCTTGTGGTTTGGGGAAGAAGGTGATACCTAAAAAACACGTGCTTACTTCTTGAGGTGATGGCAATACCCTGCACTTAGCTAGGGCAACATCTCCTGGAACTGTACCTTAAATGGGTGGGTTTGGTGATACCTGAATTAAATCCCAATACAGCTATTTTTGAAGAGGCACAGTGGTTTGCAGACTGGAAGCTGTGATCAAACTCTTAAGAGCTTTGCAGCCAACTTTGACAACACTGTCCTGGTCACTAGGACACAGAGGCCTGGGCACCACCCTAAATGTACCTGTGTGCCTGACCACATGCTGCAAGGTGTTTTCTGGAAGCTAGCCTCTCCATGCTAACTGAGTAGGAACATTCACACCTGCTGAGGACATCCTGTAGGCCAGTAAGGCTGTAACGCCAGTGAACAGAAAGGCAGCCTACGCTCCCTTTACTGGGAAGTTCTCATAGCCACTCCTTCCCTGGTTCCAAGCGGCAGGTGCTTTGGTGTATGTGAAGTAACAATAGTTTCTTCCGTAGAGCTTGGCATAGAGGTGAGCTTGATAACATTTACTGGGTAAACACTAAGCCAGTGTTAGCAAGAACACGGTCATTACTCAGAAGATGCATCAGCTCATGTCGTAAAGTGGTAACATGGAATTTCAAGTAGATTTGTGACAAACAATGATAAGAGGTTTAATAAAGCACGGTGTTAAATGTTTCAAATCTAAAGAGGATGTGCCTGAATTGTCCTGATCGTCTCTTATAGAGAACACAGATAGTCCAGCCATGTAACTGTGGAAAATGCAGAAGCAGGTGGATCATTCTATGACAAAGAGTATGGATGGGGAGCATGGGAACGCGACTTTACTGGTTTAAAAGCTGCTGATGACCCTGGGTGAGAATCAAGGAATCAAAGCCAGCTTCCTGATGACTCAGTCAAAAGAGAAAAACGGTCTCAAGAGAGCACTGAGCCAGGACACCCTCCCCACAAAGGGCACTCCGGTGACTCCAAAGTCTGCCTAGGTGGGTAACTATGGGGACAAGTGGCCACACCTCACACCTGCTCCTGGGAGACACGAATGAGCAGCAGTTCAGATGCACAGGTGTGAGGGTGAGGCCTGTGATCCCAGGTACTTGGACGCTGAGGCAAAATGATTGCAAGTTCCAGGCCTGCCTAGGCAACTCAGAACCCCGTCTCAAAATAAAAAGGAAACAAAACAAAACAACAAAGAGGGCTGAAGCGTAGCGTGGCGGTTTGGCACGTGGCTAACAAGGGCAAACTCTAATTCTAACCTTCGTACCAAAGGACCGACAAAGCAAGTCCGCGGGAGCCTGATTAATCCAGCTCTTTCCTCTTGCCTCGTGTGTGTCAGTGGAGTGCCGCGCAGCATGCCAAGTGGGAAGTGACTACAGCCATTCTGGGTTGTTTTGTGCCACGAACCTGAAAGGCATTGAACAACCAGCTTGGCATTTCCCCAGTGTCGAATGTGTCCTCTGGCAGGACAAGCCACAGATCTAGGTAAAACAGGGGGTGAAGCATTCATCACACACTAGATAGCTGAAAACGACAGCTGCCTTTCTCGCATGCTCTCTCTGGAAGCCCTAAGGGCAGAGTGGAGATGGCCGAGGGCTGAGCTGCCTCCTAGAGTGTAGGGGAGGGGCCTCTCACGGATTTTTGAGGTCACTCACGACCTGGGCATTCCTTGGCTGCAGGAGCAGTCCTCCAGTCTCGACCCGTGTTCTCCCTGTGGGCACTGTCTGTACCCGTCTCCCACAATGCAATGGGACCTCGTCAACTATTGATAGGTCATTTCAGCAAAGACCCCATTTCTGAATAAGAACCCATTCACAGGTGCTAGGGAGGGACATCATTTGGGAGGGACACAGTTTGGCTGAGGACGTGTA